TATATGTATGCTATGTCAAAAAACATTCTACCGGGCTAGGGATATAGCTCAGTTGGTACAGTGCTTGCCTCACATGCACAAGGTCCTGGGTTCAATTCCCAGCACCAAAAAAAATTTTAAAAATCTACTGTTAGGCATAACTAAAAAGAACATATTTTTTTAAAAATTGTACTTTTATAAGAGGGACTTAGAGACCATTTTTGTTAAAGTACAGACTCTGTACTTGGGCCTGCGGATGTCCAATGGGTCATTAAAAGCAGGCTCAAGCGTGGCATCTCCGTCTTCACTTTTACCTATTTCCTTTATTACTTTAAACTTTGGATCAGATTCCTGCTCAACTCTGCATGTGGGCATGTTAACCATTTAAGGAGTGTTCATCCGGAGCTGGTCATCCTCCCCCTTCAAGGCTGAAGACACCAAAAGAAGAATAGCTAAGGCAGATTTTTAGCAGACTGTCCACTGTCAGCTCTGACATCCTGTTCCAGACCCCTGGGGTGGAGCACAGAAGTCTTCAGTCATTGCCCACCTTCCAGGAATGGTGAGGCTTGCAGGCAGATCAACCCATGATGAAGCTGCCTCCCCTGAGAGCAATCATCCCCTTCCAGGATCACAGATCTGATGGGAAATTTCCTGTGAAGCAATGAAAATTACCCCCTGAGCAGTGGCTACTTCCTTGACCCCTGTAGACTGTGTGTGACCAGAACTGACATAATGATCAGCCAGACCACAGTCTGACCAAAACTGCTTAATTATGCAGATCTTTGCCCCAGCCCAAATTCTTCTTCTCTTCCAAGCTAAAGCTCATGTCAGCATCCCCTCAAAAGACAGGGCTGAGACACTAGATCTCACTCACCTCTCCAACTGGCTATGCTGATTCAAGTTCCTTTCCTGCTTTTCACCATTATACTTTTTGTTTTTTGGAGTGAGTGGCTAGACCTGATTTGTTGGGACCCTCAGACCTGGGCCTCTGGCCTAGGACTCTGATAACACTTTCTCAGACTATTCCATGATAGAAACACATATGGGAAGCTCTCCTGAGGAACAGTAAGAAGTGAAGAAAGTGTTTTATAAGTAACTACAACTTGGAAAAGCTATGGTCATGCATTAGCGGGTAGATCTAAACACCATGATCTTCTTGTGTAATCAGCAGCATGAATAAACCATAGAATGCAATCTGATAAAACTGGCTTAATTAAAATAGAACTAAGTAATAGAGGGCTGTCTGGTGTTTCTTATCTACATGTTAGAGAATGGCTACCAAAATTAATTTTTGTCTTATCAAAGTTAATACTGTGTCTTTCTTCTTTGTGATGTGTTAAAAAAAAAATCAGCCTTCAAATAATAGCAACTAGCACTTACGGAGGATATGTTAGAAACCAGGCATTGTTTAAGGATGATATTCATGCTGTCTCCTTTTAACTTTTATGTTACCTTTTAAGGGCATTATTTCTCCCTTTTCAAAGAGGAGGAAACCAAATCACAAGGAAATAAAGTAACTTCCCCAGGTCAAAAAGCTTTGAGTGGTAGAGCTGGGGTTTGTCACAGGGAAGCCTGGCTCCAGAGTCTATGTTTTAACCAATAAGAAACTGTGCCTCTGGGTTTCCTTACTCATAGGAACTGGCAGTAGATAAATCCCTGTCAAGTAAGAATAACTTTAAGCATAAAACTGCTACATGCCCATTGAAAGAGAAATAATGTTAAAGATCAAACAAAACACAAATATATGTGAATAACTACAGCAAAACCAAATCCTATAATCCATTCTCCAGTCCATCATAAATACTCCATTGCTTTTGCTATATCAGAATATTAACAATCATTTTACCTCCTTCCAGTGACAGAGAGATGCAGCTTTCCACACATTCATGGATTAGGGACTGGCTGAAATATCTGATTATTTTGTTACTGGGACAACCTCAACTTGACTGTGGAAAACAGAACATTTAGAGTTGATGATATGCAATCCACAGCTTCCTTTTGAATTGATGTAAAAAAAATTTATCATTTTCTTATTATAAAAGTAATACATGCTATGGTGAAAACATTTTTAATACAATCAAGGGTCTGTGATAAGCAATATTCAATCAAGGGTCTGTGATAAGCAATACAAACAGTTTGGTTGACATCTTTTCCATTTTATTTCTATGCTGAGTGTAGTTACCAATTGGTCATTTAAAGATTATCAAGCAATATGATATGAATTTATTTCTATTTCTTATTTGATATTCCCAAAAGTCTATAAGGCAGGTACTGTTGTTGTCATTATTATTCTCAGTTTTGGTAACTGAGGCTTTAGTAGGGTCTAGAACTTGCCCCCAGTCAGGATGCAAACTAGGACCCAGGATTGCTGATCCTATAATCTCAGTAAGGCAGACATCCTTTCTTCAGTCTGTCTCAGGCTCTGTGCTTGGTAGAGATAACAACTGTTGCTAGTTTTATTTTCTCCAGGTTTCTCTCTTTTCTCATTTAAATACAGCTTCCCTAGCTTATTTGACCTCAAGGTTTCTTAGCCTCAGCACTATAGGAGGTAATTCTTTATAGAGACCATCCGATGAAACCTCTGTTTAACAGCATCCCTGGCCTCCACCCACTAGAGGTCCGTAGTGCTTCCCTGTCGTGACAATCTAAAATGTCTCTACACATTGCCAAATGTCTTGGGGGAGGGAGGGACAAAATAGCAATTTAATAAAAATCTCTTAACAGTGTTTGAAACCTCATAGTCATATTAACATAGTCCATTCATTGAGATGGGCCTTCATAATTCACAGAAACACCTCAACTAAGATCATCTACAACTTTCCATTTATGTAGAGCCCCTTCAGGGTTTCTGACCAGGTCCACATGTATGTATTTCTCTATAGTTTTGAGGTATCTTACAATGCTTTTTATTGTGCTGTTTTTTTTTTGAACAGATGAGTCCTCACATATCTTCCCATCAGTCAAGTTGTAAATTAGTTTAAGGCAGGACTGAGGTGGTCTTATCATTAATCCAAATCTTTCTGACAAATTAATTTTTTAAAAAATATATTTTAGTTGTCAATGGACCTTTTTTTATTTATTCATTTATATATGGTGCTGAGACTCGAACCCAGTGTCTCACATGTGCTAAGCAAGCTCTACCACTGAGCTATGGCCCCAGCCCCCAACAAATGAACTTTTTACAGAACATCCACTCAAATACATTCATATAAATCCAAACTTAAGTAAATGCTAGAGTCTCTTTTCAACATCTCTTCCAGTTGTTCTAGCGTTTCCTCTCATAATATTGCATTTAATCCTCATGAACCTAATTATCTTTGTTGCAATTCCTCTGAGCTCTAATATAAACTTCAGAGTCTCAAGGAATACTCTGTCCAACTTATGGTCCCTTCTAGATCTTTCCCAAGAGACTTCCCTTTGCTGCAGCAAAGGCAGGACCACATCAGCTAATTTCACCCCTAGAGCCCCAGACGTGCCATTTCACCCCACTGTCAGAACGCACAGTTGTTACAGAGCTCAATTAAAACAATTTTGACAGAGAACACAAATGCGACAATTGGCTCCTGTGACCTTCTAAAATCCATTTTAGAAGGTCTTGAATTTTCTCCCAATAGTCAGATTGTTTCCTAGAGTGTTAATGGATTCACTTTTGTCCTTTGAGATCCTTGAAGAACAATCTTTCTCTTTAACTATCAATGTGCTACTGAAAGGATTTCTGACCCTCACCACTAAGGAAAAGAAACAGAGGGCCAGGTCATATTTGGCTTTCTCTAATTATACTAATTGCCTTCGAAACAAACACAATGAAGTTCCATTTAACAGCTGAGAATTCTCCCAGTCCATTCACTTTCCTCTATTTGATGAGAATTTCTCAGTCTAAAACATTGACTAGATTGATGTTGATAAAAAAGAGAAAGAGACAAAGACAGATGCCGTGGTGGTAAACTTTCTTTAGTCTCAACTTTTGTACTATATATTCTGATCAATACCATTGGTAAACAAGATGAATTTCAGGATAATTAACAGAGGCTGCTACAACAGGCAAATCTGAAACTCTCAATGATTTAACATGTTTATTTCTCTCCGATAAACGTGAAAGTACCTCCTCCATTTCATAACTGTGCCATCTTGAATACACCACCTCCAAGTTCATTTCCACGGGAAGGAAAAGGAACAAAGCAAATGCACTGTTTCCTCTGCCTGGAAACGGCACTGGTGAAACTGTTCCCGGACCTCGAGTGAATCTTAGTCTCATAACTCTAACTCAGAAGAAGGGACGTAGGATTTATAAAGGGACACATGAGTATTTGATGATGCTAATTTTTTAAAGTAAAAATATACAGAAAAAAAAGAAAAATATCATTTTGTCAACAACAGCTCTCTGTATAATTCTGTGATTATAGGTGACTTGATATTATTTTCTATATACTTTCTTATTGTTAAAAACTCTATAAGAAGTATTAATTTATAATAAAAATATTATTACATAAAGAATCTATATCATTCAGTTTCATACAGGATTATCTTCCCACCTCAGCTCCTGGTACATAATAAATCTTCAGTTACTGCAAGAAAGAATTAAAAGAGCCAGGAAGAATTAAATAACGTAATTTGTTACACTCATATTAAAATCTACTATAATGAAAATCAATCTCAATTTCTGGTTGCTTAGGTATAGTGCTAATAAAAAGCAGATAAAAATATCGCAACAATTCTCAAGACCCAAGACCCTTGCTACATAATTATACATTTGCAAGAAACATTCATGAAATTTCAGACTGCTCTTTCCAAATAAATACATTAAATTTAGAATTTAAAGCTATGAAGTTTCAAATTTTTTCCTAATTTTTTTGAAGATCAGATTCTTGGGCTGGGGTGTAACTCAGTGGTAGAACACTTGCATAGCATGCACAAGGTCCTAGATTTAATCTCCAGCCCCACACACACAAAAAAAAAAAAGAAGGAAAGAAAGATTGGATTCTTAAAGAGCTTACTCTAATTAAAAACCTTAATATTCTAGACCATGTTTTCTGCTTGGTTTATCTTCTCGGTCATTGTCCACAGGATTCTGAGAAGTTTTAGGAATATGCAGATGTACACACAAAGCCCAGCTTCATCTCCAATGCTGTGAAAGGGCCTGGACATCATGGAGCAAAGCCTGTGTTCCCCTGTGCCACGTGGACAGGGGCCAGACAGAGTGACTTCCTGGGGTATCCATGTTGAATCAGATTTTATTTTTTAATTAAAGCGTCTCCATTTCCAAACAAGAAGTCAAAAAGCGAAGAAGGGTTAGAATTACAATAGCTAACACATATTGATCCCTTACCACTTGCCAAGCACTTTGCTAAACATATCATATTCTATCTCTCATTTATTCCTCAAAGTCAGATTCTGAAGAAAGACAATGTCCACTTTACAGATATGGAAATTAGTTCACATAGAGGATTTGACATCAAATATCATGAGTGGATCCCGTGCTCATAACTACTACCCCATGTCACTTATACATGTCAAATCATTTGGGGTACTGGAAAAACAACACGCTTCCCAAGACTGACAATGGGATATAAAGGAGGCAGAATAGTAGATTGGTGCTCAACATCTATCCCAACTTCTTCCTAATGATCTCCTTTTTTCCAGCATGAGCCAAATGTTTTTTAAACTTCTCTGCACCCAGACTTCTTGGCACCCAGGTTTCTGAGTGTGGTTTAGAGTCCACCAAGCAGACACAAAGCGGAAGTGAGAAACATGGCAGATTCTGCCATTGAGCATGGTCATAGAGGTACCTTCTTTCTCTAAAACAGTGCTGCCAGGGGTTATGATGTGTGTTCCCTCAGTTCATGGGTGTTGATGGGTACAGTAAGGACCAAGCGCTGACTGATGCACATCATAGCAGACCTGGCGTGGTTCTGGAACCAGCAATAGTATTCGCAGTGTCCTGATTATGGACACTATCCACAGACCACACACGTGGCTTTTTGCTACAGTAGTGGTAGTACAGTTCTAAACCTGGTAGCTTTAGACACCTGAGCAAAAATTCATGAAAAGATACAAGATCATTTTTAAAAAATACTTATCCAGGGGCTGGGGTAGTGGCTCAGTGGTAGAGCACTCGCCTGGTATGTGCGAGGCACTGGGTTCGATCCTCAGCACCACATAAAAATAAATAAATAAAATAAAGGTATTAAAAAAAATACTTATCCAGAGCCTTTTACTGACCAGGCACTATACAGTACAAGGAGATGGGATTACAGTGACAAAATATACTTGTTCCTGCACTTTAGGAGCTTACGACTTAGTTGAGGGAGCAGAAATTAACAAAGTAATTATAGAAATCCAATCTCTGATTATCTTTACACTCTGATTACTCTTAAAGTTCCACATGCTTTCATTTCACCCTGGGCAGTAGATACCATCAGGAATTTCTAGAATTCATAACTTATTGAACATTTAGTCCAGCTGATCAATTTTAACCTTCAAATGAAGGCAAGTTACAGTCAGGAATTCATATATCAAAGAAACCAGTAATGATGACAATGCAAAACGTCCAGGAAGACTTCTCTGGCCATGGCTACCATTCAACAATTACGGTAAGCAAAACTATTCCCTCCTAAAGATGAAGGGGGGAAAGGCAATCATGACATCAGTGCTGAGGAAAATAATTAGTCATATTGACACACCGCTAATGGAGCGCGGGTCTCTGGCTGAATCGTATTGATGGCACTAATGTTCTTTCTAGGGTGAGCTCCCTTCATTTGTTCTCACAGTACGCCATCTCTCAGCTTGGAGGGGTTACTACTCAGCATTATGATGGGTAATGACTGGCAAAGGGTGTTTGCAGGCTCAGAGTTTTTACCCACTGGGGGGCTCAGAAGGTCATGTTAAAGACTGGATTTAGGGGAGTCTGAAGACATCATGACATCTAAATCTTTTTTTTATCTGATTATGGGCAGTAATAGATATTATTGTGTCATTACAGCTTCCAGACAGATGATATGGGTATTGTTCATAGAGCCAAACAGTTAACCTCGTCTGTAAAAATGCTTTTAAAAATGTTAGACAGTTATAAAGTTATACTGTAGTCTTAGCTGCAAATAAAAGCAAACTCAGAACCTAAGTACAACTGAAATTTTACCTACTTTCATTTGTTTTAACTTTCTTTTATTCTGTAAATATTTTTTTATTTATATATGACAGCGGAATGCATTACACTTCTCATTACACATAAGAGCACAATTTTTCATATACAAAAAGAAAAACATGTAGATGAATATATGTGTGGATAAGATATCTGAAATTAAATACTACATAAATATGTTTCAACATTAACAGGAATCTCTAACTACCACAGTACTTTGTACATAATAAGCCCTAAATTGTTGCATGAACAAATGACTCTGAAACACAAAAGCAATGTCAAATGGCACCACTACTTCAAGATGATTCGGAATTCCATACCAAATTACAAAAGTTAAAAGTAATTTAAGTAAGCTCATGGTACCCAAACTTCATATGGAAACATTCTCTTTCTTCCTGATTTTCCATATTTTTTTTAATGAGGCACTTCTATTTTCAAGATAAACACTGCCTTTCCAAGAATGATTACTTTCATTTTAACAATATTTATTAAAATACTTCTAAAGTATACAACAAATTATCATAGTTATCTAAGATTTTTAAAAATAAGACATTTCATAACAATACGGGGAATTATAAAATCTTATCCAAAGGGAGGAAGGCACACCAGGAGAGAGCCTCCTCACTGTGCGCTCCTCTCTGAGGGATTAGGCAAAGCTGCCTGGTAAAGGGGGGCTTGGTTCCAAAAGGGGATAATACCCAGAGTGAGCTAAGCCAGGATCTGGGACATGGCTGTGGGAGGGAGAGTAGCTACTATGTGTTGAATATGAGTATGAGCCAGACTACAGCACATGCTAAGTATGTGACAAATGCACATGTTTTCTAAACTCATAACCAATGGACATTATTGTGGGTGAGCAATCTGAGGCCCAGGGAACAAAATACTTGCAGAGAGGGACACAACTAGGAATGGGAGAGCCTGGATTCGAACCTCTGGCTGTCAGGTCCAACCCATCCTAAACAAGGAGACTGTGTCCAAAGCAGACGGATTTTTTTTTTTTCTTCTGTAGGAGAAACTCAACTATGGATGGAAAATAAATGCTCTCTTTCCTCTCCGGAAAGCACCAGAGAAACAGGCAGGATCCAAGCCAGAGACCCTGTCAAGGGGTGGGTTAAGTGGAGATTTTCACTTGGAGACACAAATGCCCAGTAATGCTGGAGGCACAGCAAATGCTGCAGCATGACAACTACAGATTCCCACATGCTGGTGAACCGATTCTCCCTGCAAACTCCTCGCCAAAGACAGGCTTTGTGGTTGGTGCTGCGCTGACAGATGAGGGACAACTCTGACTGGAGCTACACGGGATTAGGAGGACACGGTTATTGTACCTGATGCTACACAGATACCTTTAAGGGCTCCCAGGAGGTGCAGCATGTCTGTTTAACAGCTCCATACCACTACGCTCTCTAGAACTTTCCTCTTTTCCAGTCATATTTTGGTGTCATTTTGCCTAAACAGCAAATTGTGTCCCCCCTATGGTCCTACCAGGCTTCTCAAAAAAATGCACATCATTGCCTACACACCCTAGCAGCTGGACTATAATATGCCAGGAACTGGCACAAACTTGTGTGAGTCACACAAACTTGTGTGACAGAATGTGAACAACCTACAAATGGGTGCTGTTCTTCCATTCATTCACTCAACAAGCCTTTTTTTTTTTTTTTTTTGGCGGGGGTGGGTATCAGGGATTGAACTCAGGGGTACTTAACCACTGAGCCACATCCCCAACCCTTTTTATTTTTTGTTTTGAGACAGGGTCTTACTAAGTTGCTTAGGGCCTGGCTAAGTTACTGAGGCTGACTTTGAACTTGTGATCCTCCTGCCTCAGCCTCCTGAGCTGCTGGGCAGGTGAGTACCACTGCGCCCAGCTGACACATATTTTTTTAAGCATTCTCAAGAGTGGCAAGTGTTCTACAATACCTTAGGAAATCAAAGATACCTCTGACTGGCTCATATGCCAGAAGGAATGAAGAGGTGGGAACAGGATGGGACACCACACGGTGTAACTGAGGTTCCAACACTTTTCACAGGATGAAAGTGCAGAAAAGAAAGCAGGATTCATGATAGTAGCAGAAGGCTGACCCCAAATAAAGTGCATTCAGGAGAGGGACCAACTCTGCCACCTTTAGAGTTCAGAGAAAAAGAACAGCTAATTTTTTTTTTCTCACCATATGCCAGGAGTGTCCTTTCTATGTATGAATTCTTACAAAAACCTTAGGATGTTGCACAATAGGTTTTTTTTCCCCCATTCATTTCTGGAAACTGAGTCATGGGATAAGTTAAGTAATTTGTCCAAGGTCACATTCTAGTAGGGAATAAGGAAGCTGGGATCTAAAAGCAGGCAAACTAATTCCAAAGCCCACAGTTTAACCACTTCAACTCTTAGCCTACAGGAAGGTGCTCAATAATTAATAGTAAAATTAAAATTAAATACACCATGTGATATCTGACTTATTGAATTAAAGACCTCAGCCTCCTCTGAGGCTCTCAGGGTCCTAGTGACCCCAGATCGTAAGATGCTGGTCCACTGTTAATATAGCTGAGCAGGTATAGCTCCAACTTACAAACCCATTGTCTTCCAAACATTCACTAATAGTATTGCATTCTGAAAATACTTTCCCAAATACTAAATGGGAAAAGTACCCTATCACAAAAACATATTTTAACCTATAATGCTGGTAAATTGTTATACATTTGCAATACCTTGGAAATGAGCTGCGGTGCTAAGAGTTTTAAAGAAATGGTAGCAAGGAGATGTGGGGTCAGGAGGCCCCTGGTACCACCCCATAGGGAACTTGTTACTTCCAGAAGGAGCAGAAGGGGGAGGGGGCCCCTTGATGAAACACTTTTTTAATATTTAGACAGAGGCTGGGGCTCTTGCCCCAGGTCTCTAAAATGTGTAGGAATGGGTCTGAAAATCTGTGAATTCAAACTACCCAAAAATAATGATAACAATATGCCTGTAGATGCTCCTACCACTTTTTTGTCCCTTCAAGAGAAGGTCAGGGTCCTGCATTAACATTTGCATCTTCATGTAAAGGATCCTACAAAAAGGCTATGCAAAAAAGTGAAACCCAAATCGATG